TTCCAACGAAATACTCACACTTGTTGTGGTATTGATGTCTTCTCGGTCAAATAGAGTGCAATCACAGTCGAAACCAAAGAAAACTTGATAACCAATGTGAAGTTTTTTCTGTATTTTTAAATAGCCTGTAGCTCAATAGATTCGCAGTTGACCTTAGAAGTTCAATTTCTAGTAACGTTTATCATTTCATTTCAATCTTTGTAGTTTTCTGCAGTTCGTCATCGTCTCGTTTTGAGCATTAGATATTAGTTTTTGTCAAAGCTTGGAAAAAAATCTTTAGTCTTTATTTCAGTTTAAGGAAGTTCATAAGTCTTCTGATGGAACAGCCTGCACCGTCGTTTTATGCGCACTGATTCTTCAAATTACTAACACGTAATCGCTTAATCAGTAGTTCACCTGTACCATTTAAAGCCACTTCTTTATTATCCTCTTACAAAGCTTAAAATACTATAACACAATTAATATTTTTTAAGCTTGAAATAATGAAATTTTATTCTTTGTGGTCATACAGATAGGAACATCAATTTCAGGTCTATTTGTGCACTTAAAATGATTAGAATATCCTAGTATCCCAATTAGAATAACCTGTAGTCAATCATTTTCGCCTTTTTTTCTCCTTGACATCCAAATTGGTTTTTTACCAAGAACTGTAGAATTCTTCTTTTGATCTGGAAATCAACTCTGGATTATTAGCACGACATTTTACACTATTTTTTCTGTATTACTTGAGAAGCCTACCGTATCATTGGGGATTCCAAGCTGTTCAAATGTAGTACATCAAAAACGTAAGGTTTCTACGTTAGTCTCAGCAGTTAGTCTGAAGACATCGCTTTTTTTTTCTCGCTTTTAATGCGCGCTTTTTTTTGGCTACAAAGTTTTGAATCATCTTTTCTAAGATTAAGAGGTGTCCTCACCAGACAATTTATATAGTAAAGGTTTTTTGCTTAGTTTTTTGCTGTTTCAGAAGCAAAATGGTTTTTCTTGACGGAGGTTTATCACCACAGCAAATTGTACGTTCGCTGTTTCGTAGCGGTCATTCGAAAAGGTAACCGGAAGGTTTAAACCAATGCATGTGCAAACGATTTAAAAACGGTTCAAACTTTTTGTCCTTTTTCTTTACCAGTTTTACTGAATTTGTTGTAGAGGGAAAGCAAAGAGCGAAAGAATTGTAGTCATCAACTTTTTACTCTTTACATATGTATATTAGGTTTAAGATCTATGTAGTTATTATGTTTTGTTCTTCAGCTATAGCCTGCTGACGGATTTTAGTAAAAGAAGCAGCGCATCACCGCTGAGAAAGACTATCACTATTGTCGGATCATTAACTCATTACTTCAAGAAGCATGAATATAACGTGTCGTCGTCTAAGGACAGTATCAAGAAGTCTCGTAAAAGTTCAAGATCTCAGAAAAAGTCTAACTATAAGTCTAGTGTTGGTTTTTATATCACTGGTGGCTCAATTCGCTGATAAGTTCGTTCAGCACCAGCAATTTATTTATTTATTTTTTTGGCTTCAACTCTTCAGCTAAGCTTATTTTTTTATAGTCAGATTTTACTGTGTCATCGCGTGCGATTTCTGAAGATGACGACAGTTCAACCGCAAAACATCGCTTTGACGAACGTCGCAGGTTTTGGCAAAGAAAGAAGCGTCCTCCTCCAGAGCCGTGTTCCGAATTCTTCAAACGTTATGGTCCAAATGATATTATCGGGTATTAGGTGAAAAATCGGTTTTGGCAACGTGTTTAACTTTTTGTTTTCAGTTGTCTTATTAGCCACTGTTTTTTTTCAAACAATTACCAATGATTATTGCTCAGTCGTTAGTGTCTTTTATAAAAGCATCTTTTAACTTTATTTGTTGTCGAGTTTTTCAGAAGATGCTCTTTGAACTTGTTTGTAACAGTTATATTTGTTACTGTTTTTATCGCATCGCAGTGTTGCTGTACATATTTTAGATAGGAGTTTGTTTTCTTAGTGAGAAGGAAGAAGAAGAAGAAAGATGAATCTGTAAATGTTCTTCTTATTTTCTGTGCTTATGTCTTGGTACTGTACATATCTGTTGATTTTTGTACGTATACTTTTATGTTATACTTTTCTGTTGAAAGGCTTACTTACTACTTGTTGTCTTTTTACGGTTTTATGATGCATTTATTTTGTGGCGGCAAGTGGCGCAGGGGACAGACACCAGCTGTTTATTCAGTTTATGGGAAGCGAGGACAGCCGGTTTTCATCGGCAATGAGTAAAAGTTTGCTTGGTGCTTTCATCTTCTGCGCCATGGTTTATCGTTAAAAAGACGTCTTGTGTCGTGTAAAAGAGAAGAAAAATCGTTGATCCAAATGCACTTGTTCTTTTCAATTGGCAATTGCTTAACATTGTAGGCTGTAGACTACACGACTTTAAAAGTAGTCATATGCTTCAGGTATGGTTTTCCCAAACTGCTTCGTTAAGACATAGTTAACAAAAGTTTTTGTAACGATTATAGCGGTTACCGAGGAATTCATACTTGCTGGGCTTCAGACTCGTTCCGGCAAAAAAGTTTCCGGAATGTCGTTAAAACAAAATTTCTTGTGCTGTGATAAGAGGAAATAGGGTGGATGAGCGTAACTTCAAGGGCTGGATATTTTGCATTACATTTTTATATAAAATTGTAAGTTTCTTGAGAGACGAGGAACAGTTGTGTGGGCGTTTTTGAGTATGTAGAAGGTTGAAGAGGTTAGAGAAGGGTTTCTAAATAATACAGTACTGTTCTTAGTAGTCACTTGCTTCGTTTTTTTGCATTCGCTTTGTTGATCTCACTATTGGAGAACTGTTTTTTCTGAACAAATTCAAATTCTTGTCAGTACTTCTTTTAATTTTCTAAATGGTTGAGAAATCCAAGCTTTAATTGCTTTTTTCAAGTGTAAAAATCGAAGTAAATTTTTCTTGAAATAAAATTTATTTTTTAGACCAAGTATTTCTTGACAAAGTAGCAGTTGGAGGATGAAATACAGAACTTGGTTCTTGTGTACAATTTATGGAACAACACTTTTGCAGTACTTTGCCGTTGGAGAACTGCTGCTAGGAAGTACGGCAGAGAACAGGAATAGATGACCTCTGTAGACATACTTGCTACATAATGCTCTCTTTGTTTGGTAATTTGAAAAAGAGGCATCATTGATAGACCGTCTCTTTGCACTTATACCATATTTACATAAAGTTCTATTTTGAATCACTCAATAAATAGCATTTTTTATATGAAAAAACAAAAGCGGAAGTTACTACACTCATGAACAAATATACAGCCAACAAATAAATTTAAAAACACACAAACACAGTGCTCTTAAACAATAATAGAATAAATTCAACAAGGAAGGTTTTTGTTCTTTTCACTTAGTATTCCGCCAGTTAACATCTGTCTTCTTCGGTGTTACGACGGAATGGAAAGTAAAAAGAATAAAAATGAAAAATATTGCAAACCACGTGAAGAAGGAGAAAAAAACAGTAGCTACTAACAAACAGGAACTTCTGTTTTACCTCCTCCTGAACATTCCACCGAGAAGTGAGGGAGAAAGCTGGAAATCTGAAGATATCAGAATGCCATGATCGACAATTTGAATATACGGGTCTTCTAACTGAATTGGCAAATTGGACATCGGTATTGAAATGGTGGTTGCTTGAGCGAACTGCTCATTAATACTCTGTAATCATCGTATTCACTAACGTATGACACTCAAGCACAAGACCGTTTATAAAATACTCGTCAAATGCCGAGAAATTTTTGTTTGAAAAATTCCGTAGAAATCAGAAGACGTTTTTTTATTCAGAGCAGTTAATTTGAATCAAAATGCTTATTGGTAATAGATAATGTTTAAAAAGACTTTCTATTTGAAGTTTCAAAATGAAAAGTTAAAAGTTAATGTTTAAAGCGACAGATGAAACTTGTTTAAACTAAAAATTCATTTTCTTATCTTTTTT